AGAAGGCCCCAATAGGAGAACATATTTGCTCAAGATCTCGCAGCTAAGTGACAGGGACAGGCCTCTAACCCTGCTCTCCTTACTGCCAGACTATGCTCATCACACTACAGGTGGCTTCTGGCTTCCCTCAGCATCTGATCTTTAAGTGGACGGTCTTCCTGTCCTTGTCTCCACCAAGATTCCCATTCTAAGGGAGCAGCCGGCACACCTAATTTTTACAATAATGCTTGAGAAGGTATACAACCTAGCGGTATTTTGTGAAGACAATAAAAACCTCTAACTTCATCATTTTAATAAAAGCTTATTCAAAGCCTTTCTTGAATTGCATTTTATTTTAGGTCATTGAATGGCAATGTTTTACACTCAGCTTTTAATACCAAAAAGGTAATTATCTGTAAAAACACCACAAGAAAGATGACATTGAATTTAGTATAATAGGAAAGTGAAATTGCCCAGTATCAGAAAACTCAGAAGGTGCAGGAGAGGGACACTAACATCCTCCAATAAACCTGTCTAACTCGACTGACTGATAGGAAATTTCATTAAGCACAGGCCCATTAGTTCCACTCTAAAGAATTTCTGCCCAGGACAATGGGTATTATAAATACGTCCTTTATGTAACCTGAGACAGGAGCTCCTGAGGATGGGGTTACCACACAAAGCACCATGGGAAATTCCATGAAGATACCCCTTACCCTTCCTTGCAAGCCAATTACATTTCCTCAGCATCTTTTTTATACTCTTCAAAGCAGACACAGCAAAATCTAATTCATTCAGACAAACCGTTCTTATGAATACGTTAGTGATAAGTCTAGAATTAGAGAACACAGCCCCCAAAGTGTGATTTTAATACTTCCAGTGGTCTGCAGCGTCTGAAAGGGGGTTAAACAGAATTGCTCAACACTTCAGTCCTTGTCCTACCTGAAACACATCAAAGACAGTTCTCAATTAGCCTAACAAGGTACCCAGAAAAGACTCATCGACTTGCTAAGGTCATTGAACAAACAGGACAATACATCTTGATGTTCTGCATCTTTCTTTCTCCTCTATCAAATAACCATAAATTGAGCTAGCTGAAAATGTTACCTTTGGGAGGGATTTTTTAATAACATTTTATTGTTTGCCAGTTGCATGTAAAAACAATTTTTAACCTTCTTTTTTTAAATTTTGAGTTCCAAACTGTCTCCTCCCTCCTTCCCTCCCCCTCTGAGATGGTAAGAAATTTGAAGTAGGTTATACATGTGCAATCATACAAAACTTATTTTTGGGAAGTATTTGGACGTCACATGGAAAGAACATTCAATTTTCAAAAAAGAAGAAATGTTTACCATCAATAACCATATGAAAGAGTTCACCAAATCATAAGAGGATGAGATGTACAGATTAAAACAACTCTGAGATTTCGCCTCACACCAATCATCTTGGCAACAGCGATGAAAAATTTAATTGGCAAACGTTAGAGGAGTTGTGGGAAGACAGGGATGTTGATACACTGTTAGTGGAGCCTCAAACTGGCCCAATCACCATGGAAAACAATTTCGAATTAAGTATGTCATTAAACTATTTCTTATCATACCCTCTGACCTTGAAATACCGATACCGATACCGATACCGATACCAATACCGATACCTTGCTATAAGGAAAGGTTCTGGTGGAGGCTGAGGGGCAGGCAAGAAGTGGGGCAGGGGTCACTGAGCAGTTAGAGCAATGTTGGGGGGAGGAAAGGAAATCAATTTCTAAAACAAAGTTTAAATAACAAACATTCAGGAATCTGAGTTCAGGTCTCAGTGGTCATCAACTAGCTGTATGAACCCAGGAAATCCTGTCAACTCCCAGTGTCCTTTCCTCTGTTACCACATGAACTTGTGAGGTGCCTACGAGTTGTGCATATAGAAGTGTTCAAGCAGGGTGAGGAAAACTGAGGGTATTGCACTTTATTTAAGGGAGAAAATGATCAGGATGAAGCCACCCTAGCAAGAGTCGGTAACTTTCATTTATTCCCATTAGAATTAGGACTTACGAGTGGGTCAAGTCCTACGCTAATCAGCTGACTTCACACTAGGGCCATGCTACTAGTTACCCACCGCTACAAACCTTAATCTAGAATCATCTGACAGGGACAGCGACAATGACCCCTTTAGCTTTACGACCTCTCGTCTGAGGACAACAGGGTCTATAATCCAAAAGAGTCCCCAACCAATGGTCCGCCATATGACTTCCCTTCTCTACAAGAAATCTTTCAGGCCCTCCATGACTCCCCAGCCACACTACCCCACCCCTTCTACCAACACCCAGGGAGCTCACAGTCTAAAAGGGCAGACAAGCAAACAACTGTGTGCAAACAAGATACAGACGGGATAAATCAGACACATACCCTCCGAAAAAGGTACAACAAAAAAGATGTCCGTGCTGGGCGCTAGTACAAAGAGCCGAGTCTGAATTTCACCGCCGACACTTGGCTGTGTAAATCTCAAGCTTTCTGAGAAAATGGGGGTAAGGCTTTCAGCACAGGATCACAGGGCTGGAAGGAACTTTAGAAGACATCAAGTCCAACGCGCTCCCACCGCAGACACACACAATTTACAGCTATGGAAACTGAGGCACAGAACAAGTAAATGACTTGCCAGGGTCTCACAGTCAGAAAGCTCCAAGGTAGAAGGTGAACCCAGACCTTCCTGGTTCCAAGTCCAAACCGCCTGCACCATGCTTCCTGTCCGGGTCCTGACCTCTGAGGGTCACTGTGATGACGATCAAAGCAGACAGCAAATGTATTCTGCAAACCTAGAAGCCTTGCAAGTGTACGGGAGTGGCTGTTCTGGTCCTTCAGAGATCGGCAGATAGCAGAACTGTTTAAACCCCTCCAAACACCCTGGGCACATAACTTCTGATTAGACATCAACAGAAACTCCACCCAAAAAGGAGACTTTGAGTCTGAACAGCATTCTGCAAGAAACCTTTCCCATCCCCCTCCCTGCTGGCACCTTCCGTAGGAGGAGATTACCTCCCATTCATAAGGAGGCTCATAATTGTATTCATACATACTTGTTTGCATAATGTCTTCTCCTTCAGATTGGGGCTCCTTCACAATAGACAACAGGTTCTTGCCTTCCCCCCCCCCCCAAAGCTTAGCACAGTGCCTGGTATGCAATAAGCGCTTAATAAATGCTTGTTTACTTGACCAAAGCAAAGTTCTAACGTCCTGAATGGCCAGCAAGGGTTTGTGTCCTCCAACCTTGGCATTTCAATCAGAAGTAACTTGGGGGCATTTCTAATTGTCCTTTAAAAACAAGTCAGATTCGATTGTTTTTCAATCACCCTAAATCTTCTAGCCGTGGAAAAGGGCCATTCCCAAACAGAGGGCTCCAACTTACTGCACCTCCCAAATGCGGCTTCCAGTCCCCCAGGAAGCTGAGAACACTCTCACCAGGGTCACCAAGGATTTCTACATCTATGACATTTTTGCAACATCTGACAGTGATGAACATTCTCCTATAAATACGATTCCATTCTTAGCTTCCCTGACCCTCCTTTTACCTGTCTGTCTGTCTCTCTCTCATTGCCTTAATTATCACCTCCAAACCAATGAATCCTAAGTCTATCTATCCAGTCCCCCACATCTCTCCTGGCTTCTAATTTCCAACCTCTAGCTCCGAGTAGAACATCTCCATCTCCACCTCAAACTCAACCCACCTAAAACTGAACTAGCTGCATATTAAAACAACGCCCCCCGCTCCCCCACCTCCCAACTCCCTCATCGAGACTGACAGGGCTGCCATCCTCCCAGTAACCCAGGCAGAGACCATTCATCTTCTACCTTTCCTTTATCCCTTACCTTTAATCAACTGCCAAGTACCGTCAACCCTACATATGTGCAACTTTTTAAGTCTGGATGTGGAAGGAGGAGATAAAAAGAGGGGGAGGAGACAAATGGGAAAAAAGGGAAGAGGCAGAAACACTTCACAAGCCACAGACGATCTGATTCTCCCCCCACATTTCAAATGAATGAAACTGGTCAGACAGACAAAAAAAAAACCCTCAGAGACAAGAAGCAAAAATCACCAGGCTTCCTGGGAAGAAGGTCAAATGCAGTACTGTGTTCAGAAGTAAATTGGCCCAGGCTAGGGACTATACCTAAGTAATGTTTCACATGGCCCTTGGTAGGAGAAGAGAGAAAGGAAACAACGGTGAACCAGCTGGAGTGGGGAGTGACCTTTCCACAGGGGCTACATCTGTTTTCAAAACAAAGAAAGAACAGAAACCAGCCTTGATGGTTATCAGATCCATCCACTGGGATTCAGCTTTCGAACCAGCAGCCTCAAGGGAACCGATTCAGCTCTCATTAACCCATCCTTCGACCCCAATTCTTCAGCAGGTACACACAGATCCCGTAACCGACTTTGCTTTTAAATCATTTAAATTGTTTTAAAATGATACTCTTTTCACCATAAACTTGGGAATGCCGGTCACGTACCTAACCCCAGGTCTCTAACTCAAAGACACCATCATTTAAAAAAAAAAAAAAAAGGAATGGGGGAAAAATAGATTTATCATATAAACATCACCTGCGAGGGTATAATCATCAGGTTTGGAACAGGCTGTACTTAAAACCCCATGATGACGGCATCTGGTCTTGACTATAAATCTTTGACTAGCATACCTCGACAGGAAAGTCATCCCCCTCACAGGGCAATTAACACTTCCTCAAATTGACAGCCTAGGAAAACACTCTGTTGGGTCCCCACAGGCCATCTGCCTCCCAGCGCCCTGAAGGAGAGCTGGGTCTCCCTCCCTCTGCTCATCACCCCCAAGGAGAACACTGACATCTCTCTCTCTCCTTCCCTCCTTAAATCTCTGCGGATGTGGGGCCTCCCTCTATGAACGCAGATGCCTTCGGGGATAGGGGCAATACAACCGCCCCTCTCAGCTTATCCCTGTGGGTTCCTCTGTGCTCTTTTTAACCCAGATAATTACCCCACTTACCTCGCCCAGGGGCACCTACCTTAGAATGAGTTTCCATGTGGTACTTGGCACAGTTCTGGAGTTGAGTCACCCAACACTGCTTTTCTTTAGCATCAGCAGCTGAAAGAGGGACAGGGAAAGACTTAGATGGCCAAGGCCACACCCCAGAGCACCTCAGGCCTCAAGGGGAGTGGGGAAGGCCACCGGTTACATCAACAAAACTCCTCCAGGACTGGTGTCTAATACCCCCAAACCCACCAGTCTGAGAACGCACAGGCAATTCCCAAATGAAACATTAAAAATGCATCCTCAAATATCTCACATAGAGGGGGGAAGAAAAATTGACCTTTTTCTTGCCTTTAAGAGTCACTTTTGCTCCTTTAAAAATGCAAGAGAGAAGGAAAATAAAGCACTTAGTTTAAAATGTTCCTTTCCCACATGTGGCTAATAGAGGTTTGAAAGCCCAGCTTTCTCAGGGTCTTTTGTTATCTAACACAGACCGTACAGTGGGGTTATTAACATTTCAGAATAAGCTTATGGTTGAATTACCATTTTAATATGGATTCTTTGGGGTTTTTATTAAGATGGGAAAGGATAAGGCACAGAAGAAAACCTCAGAGAACCCAAAATGGCTGCAAAAGGCCACTGAAAGTTCAAACTGACAGCAAGATTCTTGGGATGTTTTGCCCCTGGCAGTTCCCCTCCAGCCCCTAAATAAATGGACTCCGAAATATCCTGTACCTAACCGTGTGTGTGCGCTGTAGATCACGTAGACCTACAGGTCAGCAGTTAATAACACAGCCCAGATAAAATCCGTCTGAACTACTGTTACTCAAAATAACGTGTGTAAATAGTATTATTGTTACTATTAAATAAGCCCTTCACAGGACCTAAGATTTAGAGCTGGAGAGGACGTGAGAGGTCACAGGCGCATAACGAGAAGAACCGTCAGGGGCACAGGAAGACAGATTTAGAGACGTAAGGGACTCCGGAGGCCATCCCCCCATGGATAGAGCTGGCAGGGACCTGAGAAGGCCATCTCATCTTACAAATAAGGAAACTGAGGCTTTGGCTCGGTGACGTGTCCAAGGTCACACAGCTAACAAGCAGGAGAGATGGGATTTGACCCCAGGACCTCTTGACCCTCAAAGCAGGGCCTTCAAATAAACGAATATTCACAGGAGCCAACACACAGTATGTGTTTTGTGGACCATAGGGCGCCGTATAAACATGAACTATTACTACTGATGTTATTCATATGTAGAAGGAGAAGTCTGGGAATTCTTATATTATTTTCCCATTTTGTGCTCAGAGGTGGTAGGATTACCAAATTATCTGAAATTCTCAAAAGATCATCTGGAAACTGTGCCCTGCGGACCCACCAAGGCCAGGCACCGTACCCAGGGAAAGCGGGAGCAAAGAGTGAACAGAAAAGGCTGTAAGCTCCCAGAGAGGAGGCAGGCTGGATTCAGCCTTTGAGGTCCCTTCGAACACCAAGATCCATCCCCTGCGTCTGCAAATGCCCAAAGGGACAGCACAGCCAAACACGCAGAGGGGAATGGGGAAAGGTCTGGCTGGCCTTGCCTAGGCATCCTTCTTTCAAGGATGCGCAAACCCCAAATACAATGTGTGTGCCCAGGACGGGTCGACCCGCCTTCCCTCCCTCAGAAGAACTCCTTTCCTTCTGGGCTCAGTCCTTTCCCGGTCCTCCCACCTCCGAGAGCAGGGGTGGGGAACCTGCGGCCTCCAGGCCCTTTGACAGAATCCAAACTTCTGTGCTTTCTAAGCTGTAGATTCCCCACCCCTGTCTAGCATCTCCCCACCAAAAGTTATCTTGGATTACTCTGGGCATTTCATTATATTATATATTACATGAGATGTCACCTGATAGAGCATAACCTCCTTGAGGGCAGGGGCTGTTTCCTTTTTTGTCTATGTATCCCCAGCTACGTGGTGCAGTGGTTAGAACACTGAGCCTGGAGTCAAGAAGACCCGACTCAGACACTTACTATGTGGCCCTGGGCAAGTCACCTAACCCTATTTGCCTCAGTTTCCTCATCTATAAAAAGGGCTGAAGAATGAAATGGCAAACCACTCTAGTATCTCTGCCGAAAAAAAAACCCAAAACGACTGACAGAACAACAGAATCCCTAGCATGTGGTAGGGGCTACGTAAATGCTTGAGAAGGAACTGCTTACAAAGTCTTACTCTCCTGGCCACTGGGGATCCCAAAGACACATTTCACAGCGGGATCTGATCCTTCATGCCACTGACCACAAACCACCGCCAAAGCCCACGTGGCTGGGCACCTCCCACACCACGGCTTCATTCAGCCCCGTGACTATCTCATGTCGTTAATGCAACGTTAATAAATGAGGCTTCAATAATCGACAGTCTGTTAAAAAACGAGAGGCCAGACCGTGCCTACTCTCTGGCCAAACCGATTGGGTGTTTCTCACGTGTGGCTTTTGTCATTTTAGTTTTATAAACCCCAGGCAGGAATAAGTGAGGCAAGTTTTCCCACCTATTGTTTCTGCTCCGACAATTTATTTAGCAATAAAGCAGCTGGCACTGCCCAGGACCGCATAAATCTCGGCAGCCCGAGGGGATGCTGCGTGAATCTCAAGGAAATGTATTCATCTCGCCAGCGTTCCCTCCAAACAGAGGCTTCACTCTTGCTTCTGCAACTGCACCCATTTTTATTTTATAGGTTTTTGATGGCTTTATGGAGCTACTCCTAGAAATATGATTTTTAAGCAGATAATAAAAGACATTAACTACCTTCTGGCAGATAGAGCAATACAGCAGAAAGAACCCAGGACTGGGGATCAGGCAACTTGGATTCAAATTCTAACGCTGTTGATCCCAACACAAGTGACCGTCCAGTTACTTACCCTCTCTGGGCCTCAGTTTCCTCATCTGTAAAAGGAGGGACGTGGACTTAATAGCCCATTGCTGGGGTCACCCGTTAACCGGCGCCCCCACCGTCCGCCACCAAGACCAGAACACTCTGTGTCTGGGAGGGGGCCACTGTACCACGGTGTAGCCAAAACACCTTGGGGTTCAAATTCAGGTTTTTCCACCTACTGGCGGCTAGAGGACTTGGATAAAGGCCAGCACAGGCAACTTAAACTCAAGAAACGCTTACTAAGCACTTACTGCGGAGCTGGGTGCAGGAGACACAATAACAAAAAGGAATTTGTCCCTGCCCACAAGGAGCTTACCATCTATGGGGGGATACAGAAAGATGCGCATCGGTTTTGAGAGGGAGGCATTGCTGCTGACTGACCCCAGAACAGGCCAGGGAGGTGAGTGAGCTCAAGAGATGGGCCATCAGTGAGATTCCGTGCCCTAGAAGGCCTACAGAGAAACAGAACACAGGACCTCCCCAGGATGGGGCGCGCCCCCTCCCACAGGCTCTGACCCTACGATTTCTGCTGACTGTGGGCAACGCTACCTCTAGATCTTGTGAGCAGAGCCTGGCAGACGTGCCGCATCGCAGGATTTCAGAAGAATGAGACAAAGTACACGTCCTTCCCCAATAGGGGAAGAATTTCTCTGGTGATGCTCTAGAACAGGAGTTCTGGACCCTTTTTTTGGCATTGTGAATTCTCATGACAGTCTGGTAAAGCCTGCAGACCCTGGCCTCAGACACTAGCTGTGTGACCCTGGGCAAGTCACCCTTTGCCTCAGTTTCCTCGGCCGTGAAGATGGGGATAGTAAGAGCACCTACCTCAAAAGGAAGGCTGTAAGAATCAAATCAGATGTTTGTAAAGAGCGTTCAACCCAGGGGCGGGCACACTGTACGCAATGCAGAAATATTTATTCCCTCCCTCCCCACCTTCTTTCTCAGGATAATGAGCTTTTTTAGATTCATAATTAAATGCAATGCTAAATTTCAGTTAGAAGATAGTGAGCATAAAAACACAATCTTCCCCTCATCAAAATTCACAAACCCACAAAGCTCTATCCCCAGGACCCCTGGGGTTCCATTAACTCCAGGGAGAGAACCCTGCTCTGAAGGGATGCAATCAATGAGGATTCTTCAGAAAGGAAGGGACCCAAACAAATAAAACTGTAGGAAAGAGGTGGCTTTGGGACCAAAGTCCTTCTCTTTTTGATTTTAATTCTCTTCCCCCCAATTATAAGACGTTTACTTTTTCTCCCTCATGCCTTCCCGTCCCCACTGGAAGAAAAATAAAACCTTTGTAACAAATACATGCGGTCAAATAAAACAAACCTCCACAGTGCCAGTGTTTATAAACGCAGTCTCTGCCTGCACCCACTCTCTAGCTTAGGCGGGTGGCACGGTTCACCACCGGCCCCCCAGAACCACGGCTTGTCATGGCTTTGAGCAAATTTCTGGGGTCTTTCCCAGCACTTTTACAATGTTGTTATTTGAGAAGGGCAAGGGTCTTTCCTCCCTCGGGGGAGTCGAGCTCCATCCTTCCCATTTCTTCACCTATCTCCGGTGGGGAAAAGCAGAGCTGGGTGGCCGGGGACCACAGCCCTCGGCCCTGGCCCATCCAAGGGAAGTACGAGAGGGAGAGAGCAACTCCGAGGCCAGCGCAGGCAGTCCCAGCGAGATGGATGACCGTACGTACCTCTCAGTTTGTACACCTCTCCATTGGCAGAGTGGACTACCAACATGTGGGGGGCTTCGTCACTCAGGGACACTATGGCTCCGGCTAAAGACAGGGCCCCTCGGGGTTTCTGGTTCTTACTTTGCTCGTTCACAAAATACTGCAGAATCCCAGACTCGAAATCCAGCATAAAGTACCTGGTGAAAGAAACCACAGGGGCGTTATTGCTTTATCCTAAGAAAAGGGAACGTTTATGCCCGAAGGGCTATTAAATGTGCATACCCTTTGACCCAGCATACCCCATCTGGGGCATGTCCAAAGAGATCATAAAAACAGGAAAAGAAGGGGCAGCTAGGTGGTGCAGTGGATAGAGCACTGGCCCTAGAGTCAGGAGGACCTGAGTTCAAATTCGCCCTCAGACACATAGTACTCATTAGCTGTGTGACTCTGGGCAAGTCACTTAACCCTGATTGCCTTGCAAAAAAAAATAGGAAAAGGACCTACATGTACAAAAATATTTGTAGCAGCTCTTTCTGTGGTGGCCAAGAATTGGAAATTGAGAGGATGCCCATCAGGTGGGGAATGGCTGAACAAGTTGTGGTATATGAATGTGATGGAATACTACTGTGCTATAAGAAATGATGAGCAGGCAGACTTCAGACAAACGTGGAAAGACTTGTATGGTCTGATGCTGAGTGAAGTGGGCAGAACCAGGAGAACACAGTATACAGTAACAGCCTTGTTGTGCAGTAACTGACTTGGATAGACTTAGCTCCTCTACACAATGCAAGGCTCTAAGACATTTCCAAAAGTCTCATGCTGGAAAATGCTGTCCACATGCAGAGAAAGAACTATGGAGTTTGAATGCAGGTCGAAGCATTCTGTTTGCTCTTTTTTTTTCCTTCTGTTTTGTTTTCTCTTTCTTGTGGTTCCTCCTATTGGTTGTAATTCTTCCTTACAAACATGACTAATGTGAAAATATGTTTAACAGGAATGTATATGTAGAGCCCATATCAGATTGCATACCATCCTGGGGAGGGAGGTGGGGAGGGAGGGGGAGAAAATTTAAAACTCAAAAGCTTACGGAAGTGATTGTTGAAAACTAAAAATTAATTAATTAAAAAATAAAATAAAATAAAATAAAAAAGCCCCCAAGAGCCCCAGCAACACAGAAAAGCAAATCAACTATTAGCTCAAAATCAAATCTCCACAATTCATTAAGCAAGAAATCAAGATTCTCCCGGGTGTTTCACCAAAGGCAGTTTGTAGGTGGTGGGCGCAAATTTCATTCTGAAAACAGAAAACAGTCTGCAACCAAGAATCCCTAAGGGCAGGGGGTCTGGGTCCTTTCCTGGCATCACTGTTATCATCTTCTGTGCGTGCCCAAATATGAAAGCAGCAAAGACTAGTGTTAAACCTGGAGTGAACACTTAATAAATTCTTGTTAGCTGCAACCTGGGATGGTGAAAAGACAGGTAATGGATTCATTCTGTCTCACCTTGGGGCCCACCCTCCAGGAGGATTTCCCAGAAGCATCTGGTATTTGCCGGGACTTCTCTGACAGGCAGTTTGACCAGCCCTTGCCCCCCCATCCAGACAGCAGCAAGCAGAGCCCCATATTTCAGGCTGGTCATGTTCACCTCCAGCCAGCCACCTTTGATCCCCAAAGCCAATCGGTTCCCCACGTTTCTCTGGCACTACTCTGTTGAGATGCCAGAGACTCCCACGGCCCGGAAGGGGTGGAAGAAAGGGTCTTGTTTGTACAACATTCATAAAAATGAAATGCCCCAGATTTCTCTCTAACTTTCTCTCAGGGAGAATGTAAAATGCTATCAAATGGCATGAACAGAGAGAAGGGGCGAAAAGTCAAGTTAACACAGACTGGCCTATGTTACTCGTACTTGGTTAATATGCTCTATTAACCACAACACAGCGTCCTTTCTGGCAAGGTTTCCTCTACCACCACTGCAATAACACGGCCTCCACTGGAAAAACAAAGAAGAACCCACAAGGGATCTTGGGTGTCAAGTCAGGGGATGACCCAAGTTCAAATTCCACCTTTGCCTTTTCCCAGCTGGGTGACCTCAGGCATCCCCCGTCAGCACTCTGGGACATGGTCTCCTCTGCAAAAACGGGGGTGGGGGTGAGGGCTAGCTGACCTCTTAAGTCCCTCATGGCTCTAAATCTGCAATCCCCAAGAGTATAAATGAGATAACCCTGATCACCGCTCATCCAGAGCAAACTCTCACTCACTGTGCTATGCATGAGGTGAATTTAAATACCCGCTCTCTTCCTCCCTCTTCTTTGAGGGATGGAATCAAAATGTAGGCCAAAAATTTTGGCATCAATTGTTCAAACATCCTGAAGTTTTCAGCTTGCATTGCTGACTAAGTACTGAACCCTTTGGTAACTATTCACTAAACACATGTAAAAATACATAATTGTATAAAAATACAAAATGGCCCCAGTTTGCTTCTGCAGCAACTACGGGGAAATGAAAGAAATAGGATTAGGTGGCCCTAAAAGTCAAAACGTGAGTCTTTATTCAAAGCCCAAGTGGGTCCATCACTGGAGGACCAGTCATTGCTGCATACATTCAGGCAAGTAGGTCACCAAGCTTGATTCACTAATAGAAAGTTTCATCAGAACCTCCAAACCAAGCTGAAAGATATCACAAGAGTCAGTGACTTCGATACGGGAAAGGGGAGAGTGAGCAAAAGCTAAATATGGTCAGAGATCCAGACGCTAAAGATTCATAAATTACTCAAGGCCTCATATCTACGTATCACCAGAACACTGAGCATCCCAGATAAGGAAGCTGGCTGGACAGAAAGACCACAACTGAGCCACAAATAAAAAAGCCATTTCATCATTGGTTGTGGCCAATTATCAAAGGAAAAAGGTGAGGAGACACTGTGTGCAGTTCCAGCTGCTGCCGGCCGTCCTCCTAAAGTAAGCAGCTAATTCAGAAAAACAGAAAATGGATAAAAGACACCGACTTTGACAAGCACCCTTCCTCATAACCAAGAGCAAAGTTAGCATAGTAAGGTCCAAAGAGCCCACCTTGCAATGCCAACATCAAGGACCACACCACTGTGAGCACACTGGCAAAACATCGCCAGAGAGGCTTTGACCAGTATCACAAATTATCTATAAGATGCAGAGAGGAAAATGGGCCTGTGGAAAGGTGGGCATAGAGTCTAGAACCTAAGCCAGAACCCAAGAGCATTTCTAGATGAAATAAAGAGATGCAAAGTATAATAGGTTTATTGAGTGTTTATCTAAAAATACAGTCTCATCATACATGAAAGTGATGTAACTGCCATACCTGAACTCAGTCCTTAGGTTGGCTATTATAGAAGAAAATGCAAATGGTGTTTAAGATGAAGTCAGTGAGAACGGCTGGACCTGACCAAATACTGCCCATACTAGAGGTACCTTACGATATTCCTCCAAATTGGGAACATTCCAAAACAATGTATGAAAAAACACGAGAGGTGGAAGTGCATCTGTGATATCAGTGATCCATCCGCGCCTGCCAACCCTGTGAAATTCTTGTCCATGACATCCACTAAGTTCTTCAGGCAGCTTTCCCTTCAACGTGCTAGGGGCTCAAATCCTCTTAACATTATCATAAATTAAAGAATAATCTATACATCTATCAATGGTGTCCTTGATGAAAATATGAGACCAGTCCTGCAGATGGTCAATGACCAGAGCCTGCAACCAAATAGGGGAGGAGGAGAGGCAAGGTCACATTCAGAAGATGAGCCGTGTTCCACCATCCCAAGGATCTCACTAGGCCAAGTGGCCAACTCTTAGGACAAATATTCTCCCCGCATGTAGCATAGCTACAAGTCATAGAGGGTCACCAAAGAAGAAGGTAGCCTGGCCACACCCTGGGGGAAGGATAACAAAGGGCTCACGTGCCGAGCATGGGGCACTAAGACCCTTTCAGAAAGGTCGCTGGCCAACTGACCAGGGCCTCTTTGGAAGCTACAAAAGGGAGGACGGTTCTGACTGACTGGAACTACACAGGATGGAACGAGAAGACAGGAAGGGGCTGTAGTTGGTACAGCTAGAGGGACTGAAACACATTGGTAAGATCACCAAGTCACATAAATGTGTGTGTGTGTGTGTGTGTGTGTACACAAACACACACACACACACACACACTGTTGTTGTTTGTCCTTCGTTTTCAAAGAGGACCAATGATATCATGGGGTGATGCCTTAACTTGCCCATGAACTGGATTTAAGTGAGGCAGAGCTGTACCAAGTCGTCAGCCTCACTCTCTCTTCCACAGTCATCAAAGTCCAGGGGCAAGACGAAAGTCAGGACAACTGGCGACAGCCGAGGATTCAGTGGATGACCTTGGCACCCCGGATGTCTGACCAAGCTTAGAACAAATTTCTCTCAACTGCTCATTCCTCCAGGGGAAGGTTTCACCTGCTTGGGGTAGACACCCCCAACTCACCAACGGGTTTTTGGCCCATTGGTTACCCTCCACCTGGTTTAGCCCATCTGCCAAGATGGTTTATGGGGCTGTGGCCATGGACCATGCTGCAGCTTCTTAGAGCCATAGGTGAGAGTTGGGTGCCAGGTGGACACCAAAGGTGGACGAGCAACCCTCACCCCAGAGGTGCTAGTCCTCCCTGAACACCCTTATACTATGTACACACACACACGCACACGTATATATGTGTATATATATACACACACACATATACTTATATTTATGTATATGCATATACATACATACCTATATACATATACATGCATATATACATTTATGCATACACACACATACATGGTATCTACATAATTTAGATATAAAGGAACCTACAAAAGACCCGTGCTATCATCAGCATCAAGAATGTTTGCCAGCAATTTAGAGTTATCTGTGACTTAGTAGCTAAATCCAAGCAAACTACTTCAAGTCACCGAGGCAGAAGCATCTGAGGCAGATTTTGAACTCAAACCTTCCTGACTCAAAGACCACACTCTACTCGCCATGCTACAACACCTACAAATAACTTACCCAGAGTTCTTAAGGGGGAGAGGATCCTGTCATAGATTTCAGGGGGTGAAAAAAAGATGTCTTTTTTTTTTCCCCACTAACCTCTAACTGAAATTTGGCTTTTCTTTAGATAATGAACGTAGGCAACAAACCCCAGATAATTATTATTAATAATAA